GTGGCATTTTTATTTAAGAAGAAAAAAAGCTTTCTTCCATATGAACTTTTGTTACAAATCAGTTTATTAGGGCCCATCAATGGGCAGGACTTATGAAAGGGTGTGGATTATCTGGTTAGTCCTTTGTGCAGCAAAAGGCTTAGACGCTGCTTAGTGCTCAGCTCATTCTTCCTCATGGAAAGAAGTGTTGTTTTTTGTTGGTTTTTTTTGAAGGATCAACACCTGACTGAGCCCTGCCTTTTTCATGGTAATGTTTTCACCTGAGTTGCTTCTTATGGCACCAAGAATTAGTTAACTAATACTTATTTAACCTTGGAACAATGCTCATCATAATCCGATTGGCAGATAGTCATTTTATTTAGGCCCTTTCTTTATTGTAGTGGGGCCAACAAATCTCAGTAAAGAGGATGCTGGGAACAAATTTTCTCCCCAAATGTTCTCGCTCTATTTCTTTTCTCCCCATCAAGGGGCATGTTTTGGCACAGTGGACTTAAGACTGGTAGCCACACACTAACAAGTTGGACTTACCCTCTTGGCTTGAGCTCTGAAACTTGTATTTTTAAAGCTGGCCTTCCTGTCTTATGCTGCTGGCATAAATGCCATTTATAATGGGGTTTATTATAGTAACACACTCAGGGCTGCTTTTTTGTGATAAAGCTGCCTCATGCGCATCATCACTCCACTAATTAATATACAAAATGACCCAGCATAATTTAATCATTTCGTAATGTTTTTTGGTGTTTTCTTAAAGATGATGCTTTACAAGTCAAGGCCTGAACTTGCCTGGGTTGTGACCTCTCTGCAGTGTTTGCAGTCTTGTTAAACAAAAAGAAAAGCAAAACATAAATTAGCATCTCTATTATAAGTTGCGCTACATTTCCCAGTCTTTCAACACTCCAAGGCCAGTCACTGGTAGCTAAGAGAAGGGTTCACAGAGAACATGGCAGTTCCAGCTTTCTGGAAGGAGTGGGAGCTTCCTCCCTGATGCCCTCCCTCCAGGGCCCTCTGTGCGACAGGAGCAAGGTGGGGGAGCTTGAAGTACAGGCTCTGGAACCTTAGAAGCCTAAGGGGAGAAAGAGAAGTACCACTTCCCTTTAAGTGTGGTGAGGATGTTCTAGTCTGTGTGGCCTTTGGCATCTATTAGCCTTCAGGAGTGTGTTTCTAAGTTTGCCCCTAGAATTCAGGGTTGAAAAGTACTTAGAGTGTCGGGTAAAAGAACCACTTCTCTGTTTCGGTAGATATTTCTCAGTCTGTGTGTGTTCATAATTACCCTAACATCCCAGGTTCTTTTTTTTTTTTAAGGTTTTATTTATTTATTTTTAGAGAGAGGGGAAAAGAGAGAAAACAAGAGCAAGAGAAACATTGATGTGTAAGAGAAACATTGATCGTTTGCCTCTCACATACCCCCAAACCAGGGGGACCTGGCCTTCAACCCAGGCATGTGACCTGATTAGGAATCGAATCGGTGACCTTTCGGTCTGCAAGCTGGTGCTCAGTCCACTAAACCACACCAGCCAGGGCAACACCCCAGTTTTTGTTATTTTGCCTTTGGACTTATGTATTTCTGCACCTTCTGGCTTCAAATATCCTTCACCTTCATCGTCCTAATCAACCTACTCAGTCCTTAAGACTCAGCTCAGGAATCACATCCTCCGGAGAAAAGATATTCCTCTGTTTCCTGTTGACATCCTGTGATAACGTCACTGCCTTTCCACACTGTATTGCAATGTTCTCTTTTGCATCTGTCCATAGATACAAGGTCTGTTCCATATTCATCTAGGACACAGGTGGCAAAGACAAGGCCCACAGGCCAAATCCGGCCCTCCACTTTGTCTTATCCGGCCCAGCACCTTGTTTCTACCCGGCAGCAACGCCGAGCTCCCGCTTAACTGTTAAGGAGTAGTTATATTTATACAACCCTAAAATTACATTCGGCCCTTTGAAGCCAACGGCGAGGCTGACACCCCTGCTCTAGGAGCTGGTAAAGCTCCGCGGATAATGTGTTTGATTTGTAGCTACTTGATTTCTTCACTCGTAATAATGACTTCCCTTCGTCTGTATCTGTCACGGGTATACCTCTACCCCGTAGACTTTGCACAGTCACCTGATATGCCAATCATTCATTATACCAGAAGGTCTCAGCTTTGTTTCTCTGACGTGTCCTTGTGGGGGTGTCACCCACTCCAGACACAGTACGATGGACAGGAACAGTGAGCAGGACTGAGACAGGCCAGCTCGTCTTAACTGACAGTGGTCGTATGACGCTTACAAAACCCAAATTGAAATTGTTTTGGCATCTTTTCTTTAATTTGGCAAAATATTTTCCTGCGTTTATTTTAATTTCCACATAATTATTTCCACATTTATTTTAATATCCTGAATTTCTAAGATCTGCGAATACATTTAATGATTATATTAAAAGCTTATCTATGGAATGAGTGTGTATAAATCTAGTGACATGAGTTTAAGATTTATTCTTCTTCCATTTTCCAAGTAAATTTTTTTAATGTGTTTTTCTTCATGAAGAAAAGCAGCATACTCTTCTGGATTCTGGCTCTGGTTTCCATTCCCAGCTCTATCTTTTATTAGTTGACCTTGAAAAAAATTACTTATTTCTGTGAGATAAAACTTCATCAGTAAAATAGAGATAACGCTAATACTTAATTCTCAGGATTATAATGAACATTAAATGAGAGATTGCAAATAGGAGCAAATGAAAGTCTCCATGTTGGACGGCAAGGTACTCAGGCCCCTCCCCCCATCTACTTCTAGTTCGCTGGAAACTGGGCTTCACAGTCCTCCAGCAGGGGCTCGGAAGATTCTTCTCTGGGAAAATATTTATGCATCCTGACCTTTGAGGGACCCCCAAGAATCAGCCAAGTCTTATCTGATCATCCTTATCCTTTAGTGAAGCCCTCAGACTCAGAGCTCCCACTTATTAGTTTAACTCTTAAATGTGATGAGTTATCAAATAAAGATATACTCTTAAGGAAAAGCCTCCAATGAACAAATAGGAAAAAACAGACTCAGAGGAAACAGACAAAGCAGAGAACAGAAGAAAACACTTTTTAAATCTGTAGTATCCACAGAGATCTAAAAGTAGGGATTGTATCCACAAAATAGGATGAAATAAAAAAATTCAAGAAATAATATAGAGCTCTTAGAAATAAAAAATATGATAGAAAAGATTAATATCAGGGTTGGAAGATAAAGCTGATGCTAACCTAAAAAAGTATTAAAAATAAAAACCAAGAGCAAAAAAAAGGAAAGGAAAATTAGAAGATTACAGGTAGACCAAGTATCCAACTAATGGAGGTTCTGGGGCGGGGGGTGGGCACAGGGGGAAGAAAATGAATGGAAGGAAATGAAGAAATTTCATAGAACTGAATTGGAGATTCCAGTTTAGAAAGGACCCATCTAATACCAGCAGAATGAGTAAAGAAAGACTTATCTCAAGGTATATAACTTTGAAATGACAGAATCTAGGGATAAAGAAAAGTTCCCTTTAAAATTGTATTTAAAAAATAAATTAGAAACAAAGAGTCAGAAAATCAGAATGGCAGAAGTCTTCCAGCCGATAGCACTGAAAATTAAGGCTGTGGAGCAGGGCCTTCAAGATGCTGAGGGGAAGGACCTCTGGCCTGGCTGCCCACACCTGGCCACACTATCAAGCGTAAACAGTGTGTACAGTGTTAAGGGTGTGCTAAAGGCATTTCCAGACATTCGAGGAAATGTTTGAATTTTTACCTCTATTACATCAAATTTCTGAGGAAGCCTTTGGAGCAGATGTACCACAGAAAGAGAGAATTAATGAAGAAAAAGGAAGGCTAGGGAACGGGATTATAACAAGAGAGAGGGAAGTTCCAGAAATGCAGCTGTAGAACAGGCCTGGAGAGCAGTGGGTTCTGACTGAGCCCTGAGAGCAGAGCCCCGGCAGGGAAATGGCTTGGGTTCCCTCCCGTGTCTGAATGCACTGAAAGGGTGCTCGCGGTTGTGTGTTTGGAGAGGAACTTGCGATAGGTGCCTGGTAAACTAAGCAAAGCTGGGAAATGGCAGTTAGTAACTCCAGTGTAAGCACAGTGTTTCCCAAGAAAGGAGGTTAATACTAAACTACATGGCTTAGCTATAAATCACATTTATATAATCATAATAAATATTGAACATAGATTTAACCAAAAACTGGAATAACTATGTTAGAAGCATGAGAAAGATATATTGGTGTTGGGGGGAAGGGGGGCAAGTAAGTACAAAATTAATATTAAAAAACCATTTTCCATACTAGGAAGTTAATAAATAATATTGAAAGCTGAAAAACAAAAATCTTAAAATAATAGTGCAACCTTGTTATTTAAAGACAAGGAAGTAAGTACCAGGAAGAAGGCTAAGAGAATGGCCTCTGGAGAGAGGAGGCCAGGATTGGTGGCATAAACTTGGTATAGTTTTTAAACATCTTTTGGTGTATTTCGGGATGGAAGATAAGAATTAAATTTAAAAATATTAAATAAGACAATTACGTAAAGCACTTAATACCATGCCTTTCATAGTTAAGTGTTATAGAACATGTAAAATATTATTATTACCCTACTCCTCAAAATCATAGCAAAGCTTTGCCAAGTGGGTGAACACTGACTTCATTCATTCATTTCATTTTCCCAATTCCCATGATACACACACCATGTTGGCGGTGAAGTGAACTACAAACATGTACTGAAGTGTCTTGGCTTGTACATCTCCCTGATTTACTAAGCCATTATTTTATAGACATGAGTGAGAAGAAAGTTGTTGCCTCTTTCTAAATCCTGTTCCAAAGAAGTGTTGCTTTTTCTGAATCATGTTGTTGATTCTTCTCTTTTGATTTCAGGAGGACAGTTCTGAATTTTTTTCTCTCTTGCCATTTACATTTCTGAGATTAAATAAGTGGGTATTGTTCAGGCCTACCCTGTCAAGTGTTCTAATCAGCTTTATCCTGTGCATTTCCCATGCTTTCTCTCCGTGACCAGGGCCGCAAGCTTCTCATCATTGGGACCACGAGCCGCAAAGATGTCCTGCAGGAGATGGAAATGCTCACCGCTTTCAGCACCACCATCCACGTGCCCAACATCGCCACCGGAGAGCAGCTGTTGGAGGCTTTGGAGGTGAGAATGAGTCAGTGGATTGCTCACTGTGTATAAGAAAGGACTTGAGGCTGGAAATAATGCGAAGGGGTGCCAGACATCACACCTGGTGTTTAGTTTCTATGTGAACCTAGAATATGGGGCCTGGGCTATACCTCCGGGTGCTTTTAGGAATTAGAGGAAGGAGAGATGACTATCAGTGAGAATGTATTTCCCACTTCTTGGCATGGGCAGCACACAGGCTGCCAGGAATGGGTGACTCTGACCAGCATGAGCGATCCATTCACACAGGCGACATGCACCAGAAACGTGGGGGCGGTGGCGGGGGAGGCCATGTGCTCTATATGGAAAAATTAGTTATTTGTAGTAGCTTCTATCCCCTTCACTTGTATTTATTTAATGAATTAGAGCAATGATTAAAACCTTTAGGAACTTCAAAAAAGCTACAGAAGTAAAAGCAACTGATTCATGAACAAGTTTATAATACAGAAATGTTTTCTTCAATACTTTTAAGGATAACAAAGTGTTTAATTTAAAAAAATTTAAATCTTTATTAAACTTTTGATTGATGTCAGTATGTACAAGTGACTTGATAAGATCTGTTAGAAAACTTTATCTAGTGACTTGTTCAGCGGTGGTAAAGGCTTCTTAAAATCCTCAAGACCCATAAACTTGGGGCTACTCCCAACAAAGTGGGAATTGTTTATATGATGAATGTCTGCAGGTTACCTGCTCATGCAGCTTTCATGCCACAGTTGGGGAGAGAATTACAGTTAGCCTGCTCTGACGCATACAGGTTTGTTCCTAGAAAGGAATGTTAAACATTTTAACTGATATTTATTATGGATTGGAGCTATTTTTCCCCCCAGCAAATATACCTCTAAATTATATTGGAGGCCTATAGGAAAGCAGAATTTAGAGTATCAATTTTCACTTTCATAACTACACCTAATGGGTTTAGGAAGGTCAGGTTAGATTTTAAAATAGGAAAGAATCCTGTCAACTTGAACCGGACAATTAGTCTTTGTCATTGTTTTTTTAAGGATAAGTGTGAAAATTAACTAGTGTTGTTGATTCACTCACTATAGCAGTGCTTTCATTATTTCTATTGTTTTGGTAGCTTTTGGGCAATTTCAAGGATAAGGAACGTACCACAATTGCACAGCAAGTAAAAGGGAAGCAGGTCTGGATAGGAATCAAGAAGCTGCTAATGTTGATCGAGATGTCCCTACAGGTAAGTCACTTCCTTCTCTGTGTGGTTCAGACACAGAAGCTTTATGTGATGCCTACAGGTTTTATATTTCCTTTTGCTGAAGTTCTAATTTGTTACAATTTTTTAAGACTTTATTTATTTATTTTTAGACAGAGGGGAAGGGAAGGAGAAAGAGGGGGAGAAACATTAATGTGTGGTTGGCTCTTGCACACCCCTACTGGGGACCTGGCCTGCAACCCAGACATGTGCCCAGACTGGGATTTGAACCAGCAGCCCCTTGGTTCGCAGGCCAGCGCTCAATCCGCTGAGCCACACCAGCCAGGGCTAATTTTCTTATATTATTTCCAAATTGAAGTTGATATTAGTAGCCTGAGATCAAACAGTAATTTATTGGTACTTTTCTTTCCCACTGAGAATTCAAAAAATAGAAGATTATTATAAAATTATTTTTAAGTTTTAACTAGAAAGGACTTCAAAGAGCAATTCTACTGCCTCTCATTTTAGCACTGAAGGTAGCATGTCCCACAGGCTGCCAGTGAGTTACCCGAGGTCTCAGCCAGTTGATGGAGAGGGGATGACATTACCATCAGAGGTCAGGAAGCTACCACACGTACACCAAAAAGGGCCTGGGAGACTGTTTTAGGGGACAGAGTAATCGAGTTTTGCAGAGGAGACTTGGGCTCTGTGTATGTTCCCCTGGCCTGGGCTCCTAGAAATTTCACGCCCACTACTGTAGGGTTCAACACCCACAGAAAACTGAGCCCCAAGCTGCTGTCTGGGCAAAGACAGATGAAGCTACTTTGGGACTTTCTCAAGTCTGCTGGCAACTTACCTTTCCTCATTTTGGAACTCCACCCCTCCATGTGCCCATCCTGTGTCTTCTTGTGCTTTTCAAGTTAGATAACAAGTGTGTCCTCACCAAGCTCTCTGAGTTCAGCGACCTTGGCTGACACTCACAGTGGAATTCAGGGCTGGACACAGAGCCCGGTGCTCAGTAAACTTGCATTGAGTGAGTCTCTCCCAGGTCCGAGGCTACCTTCTGAGCATGTGCATCACGGCGCAGTCCTGCCATTGGTCATTGAGCAGTGGGTGGCAGAGGTGAAGTTTCAGTTACCCCCAATATAGGCTCTTACCACTAACAACTGGAAACACAAAGTGAATGCTTTTTCATCTTTGCTGGTGAATTTATTTTAAAATAAGATTGTGGTTTTCAGAAACCTAAAGTTCAATCTATGGAACTTTCAGCTGAACTGTTTTTAAGCCAGTTTATTTATTTCCCATTTTGAACAGTGAGCTCAAGTTATAGACTAATCACTTTACATAGGGTTTTTCTTGGTAAAGGTGCCTATGCAGACATATTGGCCCTTTCCTTGGAGAAAGATAAACCTGTCAGATAGGCAGCTCAACTCTTCATTTTTTTAGTTTCAGCACAATTTTTTTCCAGTAATTGCACAGAAGAAACTATGTGGGTTTTTCTCCTGAATCCCTACCCCTTCCTCTTCCTTTCATGCCTGCAGGTCAATGATCAAGTTAATGCCGCTTATGTATGTGGGGTGGAAAGTGAAAGCGGGGCAGTCGGGCCTAATCTTCAGCGACTGACACTTCATAGGCCTCTGAGCTTGAACCCCTTCATGTCAAATGGATTTCGTGCAGCTGAGTGAATTCTCTTTAGATCTGCCTCAGAGAGCCTGAGCCTAAGTGAAGAGGCATGTAGTTTAGCAGAATATAAGTCATGTTACCTCTCTGTTCACATACACAATTCTGTTAAAACTTGCACAGTGCTGAGGATCTGCTCTGACTGGATGTCACCTGAGGGAATAAAGTCATTTATCTAGATTACTTTTTTCCTCCCTTTCTCTTGACTTTTAATTCCATTGCTACAGGCAAGCCAGTAAGTCGTTGCTCACACATATTAAATATATTTAATGGGCAAAGACCTGCAAGTACTGACTGCAACTGAGCTCCAGCCAGTTCCATTTTTTTTAAAGAAGCTGACAATTGATTCATATGTAATTCTATTCCCAAAGAAGAAAAATGTTTCTTTTGTTAGCTATTCACACTTTTTCTTAGTCCTTTGTAGTCTGACCTCTTAACTTTGATACATTTGAAACTTCTGCTGGATGTTTTTCTGTGATAGAAGAGATCTTTAAACAACAAAAAAAAAGTGGTTAGAGGGGAATCCAGTTGCACGTTCACCCACAGCTGCGCTGAGCATCTGAAAGCCACTCCCGGAGGGCAGGGAGTTCCCTCTTGGGAAACAGACTCCTGCCCAGGAACATTTTTTAAAGTTAGGTGTGTTTCTTACAATAAAAATTCATCTTAAGGAATTAAAGATGTTTTCAATGACAATATTTTAGATACTTTCACATCTCTGGTGAGTGGACCAATGAAAATAAACTATAAGCAAATTAATATAAATATGGATTTAAGGTGAAAATTGACAGTTACTCATGACGAGCTGAACCAGAACGCCCCCATCATTCCTTAGGCTCACGACACTGTTCTCGTCTGCAGACACCCGATTATCCAGAATTTGTATCAGAGGAGTGAGCCCCATGCTTCATTTTTTTTAGTTTCAGCACAATGGTTTTCATTAACTGCGAAGAAGCAGCTATGAGAGGGAGACCAAGGCTAAGAAAAGCTAGATTATTGATCATAAAGACTGAATAAGCTATTTCTTTAGTTGTTTAGTCAACATCAGTTCTTCAAGTTTGGTCTCACTTTTATGCCTTAGATGAGTCCTGTGCCTTGGTTGCCATTTGAGCAGCTGTGAATGGCCAGCGGCCGGTCTCACACTAGTCCTCACAGGCACGCAGCCTCTCACGCAGGGCCACCCAAGGGAGCTCGCGCTGAGGTACCTGGGAGTGGCCTGCTGGGTCATTTGGTCCCTCAAATACAGCAGTTCTCCATAATAGGAAATCCCATTCACTTCTCTTGAATGACGCAGCCCAATTTCCTGTGTGTCAGAATACTGGTCAAGGAATGGGTAACACAGTTCTGTGACTCAGCAAAAAAGCACGGAGGAGAGTAGGAAGCTCAGCATTTCCTTGGCATGAGTAAGTGCATAGTTAGTAGGAGGCACCACTAACCCTTCGTCTTTATTTCTCCTGATGTATTTAGATGGATCCTGAATACCGTGTGAGGAAATTCTTGGCTCTCTTAAGAGAAGAAGGAGCGTAAGTATGTACAGCACTTAAGACTGTCACCTAGACTCACCACTCTCTTAATTCCAGTGCCTGTTCTAAGTGTTGCTCTACAAATTGTGCTTATAAATTTAAAATCTCAGACTTTCCTTGGACAACTTTGTTTTCATCTATAGAATTGTTCACTGTGTTGTAGGTCTGAGAGACCAAGCAAGGAAATTGGTTGCACTGTTGGTTTGCTCTCCTTGTCCTGCTTCACAAAACTTCCTTGTCACAATGCAGGAAAAAACTCAATGGTACATATTTGTTGGAACCTGCTTTTAGATGCATGGAGCTGCGGCCCTTTTCTTTTGTGACTCGCTCATCTAATAACAGATGCATAGTGAGGAACTTAGAAAAGCCATTAAGAAGCTTGTAGTGATTTTGTGATGAATGAATGGCTTTTTGCAGACCCTCATCTGTTGTGTTTTGGGCATTTCTTTTTCAGTAGCCCCCTTGACTTTGAAAACGAACTATTTGCAAACACACAGTGACCAAGGGAAGTGACCCAGGGAAGTGACCAATGTAAAGAGGCCTGGGATCAGCACTGGATTCACTCGAGATCCTAAACGAAGTGAAATGTTCCCTACCTTCAACACGTGCTCGCGCCGCATGATTAGTGCAATAAAATCCCTTCCTTGTACTTACCAGGATATTCTGCCACTTTGTTAAAGGTACAAACTTGCTTCAGAATGCTCTGCTTACCTTTCTGTGCAAGCCGATTCCTTCTTCCTCAGTCTTTACGTGTGTGAAATATACTGTACTTGTGAACACTACACATTCTAAGCTTCCTACTACCCCCACCACCCAAAAACTCTCAATAAATGTGATGATTTTGCAAGAGGACAGTTGGCCTGTTAGAAGGAAGACTTTGGACAGGTACACCAGGAACAGTGAATAGAGGAAAGGGCTCAAAGGGATTATCTTAGAACCTCTGTGTGCTAATGCTAAAGGTAATCAGGTGTTTGGTTCAAGTTCTCCCAGAAAGCTGGTTGTTATCTTTGCCTGAAGAAGCAGGCCTTTGGATTTCTAAGGTACTGCTCACAATTATTTTTAGAGATGTGTCCAAGTTGCAGTCAGGAGATTTTCCTCAATAGAAAGTCAGATTATTACTGTGTTGTCTATGACATCCCCTTAATGTAACTAATTTCCTCTGTGGTAAGAGGTATGGGAGTCATTTCTACCTGGTAGTTGTTGTTAAAATCTTATGAAAGATGTATGGAAAAAGTGTACACCCCTAAAAAGAAAGGAGTTGTTAAAGGAAGTAATTAATAAACCTTAGTACTAATTAGTGCCCAACTCTAAATGGGTCAGTTCCTTAGTATAATATTAAAGGCTTATTAGCATCACCAGTTTTCTTCTTTCCTAAAGTTAATGACTTACTTAGAACGTATCCTTCATTTTAAATTATCCGCACTACCCAGCATCTAAAAAAATAAAGTAAACCACTTTCTAGAGCTCTCCCTTCTGTCTTTATCGACCATTCTAGTCCACGTAACACATTTCCTTTACCCTCTACACGCTTCTTCCAGAGGTTTTGTCTTATAGCTGAGCCAGAAGGAATTTAAATAGGCATCGTACTTGGTCATGAGACCTATGGAGCATGCTCCTCTGTCCCCATTTCTGCTTGAAATGTGAGGACAAGCTGTCAGAAGCCATCTGAATGTGCCTGACGCCCCCGGGAGGCCTGTGGCCACAGTGGCACTGAGTGTAGCTGTCATCTGTCCCTGTGGTGAAGGCACATTGTCCCCAGACACTGCCGCCTGCGTATCTGTGGTGGGCTTGCGTGCCACACCCACTGTCTTTCAGCTTTTCTTTGCTAGCTTATTCTGTGGCTTTTCAAAAAGTGGGTTCTATCGTGAAATTCTGTGATGCCCAGCGCCCAGCGCCCTGGACTTCCTCGTCCGGTTTAGATAGAGCTTCTTGCCTCTTCTCTTCCCGCGAAAGCAGCTCACATTGTATCAACTTACGTCTCCCGCTCAGTGAGGTTGATGTCTTTGTGTTTCATCCAAAAACTATATTGAAAAATATAAATATTATATTGTTTAATGCAAACGAAGGAATGCAATAAAGAGTATATATACTTGACAACATTCTGTAGACCAGTATTTTATACGAAACAACATATGTGACCGGTGCGAACGTGTGAAGGAGGAGCCCGGGAGAGGCCCTGGAGGTCGTGTGGTGACCGCCCGGAGGAGGTGGGTGCTCTGTATTTCAAAGTCTCTGATTCTAACTTTTTTAAGTATAGTTATTGAAAAAGAAAAACAGATCAGTAGCATTTTTAAGAGTTAATACACAAGAATCTTTATACTTATTTTACTTATTTCACCTTATAAAAAACTGCAGTGTACCAAAGCCATTATTGGGTTAAACCAGAAAGGAAAATTGTTTCTCAAGTAGAATCACTTCCTGCTCTGAACGCACGACAGGGGCTCAGACGGTCCCGGTGAGATTTCTTCACTCAGTTCCTTGGGTGTCCTGCATCCTTCTTTGCATGTTTCTGTGCTATCAGAACTCTTGGCCTAAACCCTGATCCTTAGGGTTGGCTCCAGTTAGGACTAAAGGCCACCCAGAAAGCCAGCAGGGGTCTGTGGGAAGAGGCCAACTGCAGAGATTCCCGGGGAGCAGGGTCGGCCCCCAGGAGCTGCCCACACCCTCCTGGGAGGAGGACTGAGGCCGCCCTGGTCCCAGCAGAGCCTTGAGAAGGTGGAGTCTCGGGGCTGAGTGCCCCGCAGCGTCCACGCTGGGCTGAGCACATGCGAGCTTGCAGCCCGGCCCCGCCGGCAGAGCGAGGAGGCTCCAGCCAGCTGCGGCCTTACTTGCCTTCATCTGTGGATGGCCTATTAACAGGCTATTTTTTTCCTAATTTATTGATTCAAGAAGGAAACATTGATTTGTTGTATCACTTGATTTATGCATTCATTGGTTGATTCTTGTATGGGCCCTGACCAGGGATCAGACCCCTAACCTTGGCGTAACAGGACCACGCTCTAAAAATCAACTGAGCTACCTGGCTGACAGGCTTTTTTATTTATTTTATTGATTGATTTTACAGAGACAGAGAGGAAGGGAGGGAGAAAGAGAGAAACAACGATTTGTTTTTCCACCTACGTGTGAATTCAGTGTTGCTTCCTGTGCGTGCCCTGACCGGGACCCCACCTGCGATCTTGGTGCATCGGGACAGTTGCCGACACATGGAGCTGGCTGGCCAGGGCTTAAATTTTTTTTTTTTTTCAGAAGATGTCATTAAAGCCTCAAAAAAAGAAGCTTTTAACATTATCCTTTTTAAATCTGTACATCTTCACTGAAATACTTTTTAGAATGTAGCACAGAAAACTGCATAATGGTTGTCAAAATCCGAGAATATGTTTTGCTAATTAAGGCTGTTTTTTCATATCCTAAAAATTACAGTGAACAGCCTCCCCTTGAAGTTTTGGCAACAAGTCATGCAGTAGATTCAAGTATGTATAATAATCAAGTCCTGGTAAACAGGCTTGTGGAAGTATTGAGTCAGCTGTAAACAGCCAACCCAGCCCAAACACAGAAAGGTGAAGGCAAGATTTCATTCTCCTTGCCTGGCAACTTGGTCCATCTACCTTTTCAGAGAAGGGACAGGGAAGAATGTGTAAGAGAGTTCAAAACATGTGATTTCAGAAGTTACTGCACAGTGACCTAAAGTTTCTCATCAGCGAGACGGAGGCCTGGAGCGGGCCCACGGGGCGTGTGTGTGGACAGCACGGTGCAGTGGTGGGCACAGCCCCAAGTGGTGAAGATGGAATTTGCAAGGACTCAGGTTTGAAAGTTTCCCAGGACCACCTCCACACTATTGCCTTTGTCTCACCGCTTTGGGAGTTTAAGACTAAAGGGTAGATCATTCTTTGCCTTCTAGAAAGTTCTCTGTTAAGCCAGGAGAAACGATGACAGTGTGGTGGCCATTGTTTTGCTGAAAGAACTTCACTTGGGTGTGTGCGTCAGCCGCGCACGTACATGTCCACGGACCAAGGTCGGCACAGGTGCCCCGCCAGGTCGTTGGGAGTCAGCCCTGGAGACACCTGGATGGTCCCCCTCCCTCACCTCTTCCCTTGCTTCTCCCCGCTTTCTCCTAACCCTTTGTTTTGCCTTTATTTGTACCTCATCCTCTCATCCTTGAACACTCTCCCACACACACCCCCTTCTTTATTCTTGAAATAATACTGGTTTGAATAATATCTTCTTATCATAGTGTCTTTTTTTCTTTTCGATTTTTTTTAACTTCCTCCTGTTCTTAGATGTTTATCAGTATTTATGCTTACAGAGAAACTAAATGTTTAAGCACTGCCATAAACCGTGCTCTCTTTAATCATAGAATAGGATTACTCATAGAGAGGATTACAAACGGCCTTGGTAAGTATGAGTAGGGACTGTTTGAATGCTTGGCAATCTTATAGGTTAAAAAAAGGGAGCACCCAGAGCGCTGGGGTGGATGTGTGTTAGCCTGGCATAAAAGCCAAACTCGAAGCGCGGTGGGCAGGACCTGGAGCCAGCTCGCGTCCTCTCCGTGCCCGACTCCCTGCCCAGCTGACAGAACCATTTCTGTGGTTTCAGCTCTTCGGGGACTAAACAGACACACGCTGTGGGCAGGGTGAGGTTGGTGAATTGCTGGGAGCCTTTCCTGGTCTGAGGTTAGAGGTCCGCAGGGAGCACTGGCAGCCCATCTCCACCGTACCCAGCAGTCGCTTTATTGTTCTGTTACCCTCCTTTTGTGAAATGAAAGAAAGAAGATTCGTTCCTAATAAAGGGAAATCAAGGGAAGGAAACAAAAATATTTTTACTGTGCCAAATAAACTGAAAATGGCATTGTATGGGTAGGTCTGAAGACATCTTACATCTCTCGTCATAAAACCGAGTTACAGCATCTCGTTGTTGAGAAGGCGTGGCTGTGAGCTTCACGTGAGTCCTTCTGAAACTGCGGTCCAGGGAGAGCGTGCCCACTGGTGGGTCCCTTCCGCCCAGAGCTCTGGGTGCACCACCTCTCCTGACCAGCCCACCCTTCTGTACTTAGCTCTCAGGCAGAGCTAGTCGGAGAAGAGCCACTGCAGTCAGGTTCATTTTTAGCAAAGTGAATCTTGTGCTCCCAGCACATGGAGCTGAAAATATGGGGGAGGAAGGGACTAAGTCAGTGACCAGCTCTGGTCTGCTGGCCTTGAGCCTCATCTTTGAGTGTCTGTGAGGTTCACTTGTGCACTGCGAGTGCTGGAGTCTGAAGTCGGTTACTGCCCAATTCGCTTATTTTTAAAACTAGAAATGCTTTGTTAGAAGTTGTTTTAGAACAAAGTAAGCCTGTAAGAAAGTCCTGGAGTAGATCAGACCCACACTGTCCATGATGTCTCAGATGATCTTGCTTAGAGAACAGAGTAAATGAACTCAATTCAGGCCACTAACTGAAGAGTGAAAGTTGAAGCTACCATATTCAGATCCTGATATTCTTGGCCTCCTGCGCATTAATCCGGAAATTCCACACATTGTACAATGTATCCATTTTTTAAGTTTTTTACCTTCTCTTTAATGACTTAACAGAAAAAAACTGCATGATGAAATATAGTTTCTCCAAATATATATATATTTATATAATATATAATCTTAGTTAACTCAAAGGTATATACATTGTATAATAAATAATATTTATAAAAAGAGACTTTTTGGATATAAAATCAAAAAGATCAACAACTTCTACAACTTTTTACAAAACTTTGGATACAGCAGGTTGGTAGGAAATTTCCGTTGGATGCTATTCCCTGACTATGGCGAGAAAAATTACAACGCACTTGACGTACTGTTATTAAATAATTACTTGTCAGCTACTTGCATACGCCCCAGAAACATGACTTTATCACTTTTAATATAGAATACATAGATATGAAAAGACTTTTTGGAAATTTGTACCCATTCTGCTGAAATAATTCTCACATAAAGCAAGCATTATCTGGTTGACATGATTTAAAACTTCCCAGTCTAAGGTGAGATAGGAGGCATTTCAGACTCCAGGGAGGGGAGGGGAGGGGGTGCGTCTCTCTGGCAGGGCTCATCGCCAGCAGACTCAGGTGCAGGCGCAGCTTCTAGATGGTGGTCCCGGCAAACCTGCTTGAGCGAGCAGGCAGATCGCCTGACCCGGTATCTCAGATCGGTGTTCGGTGGACCAGAGAAAGAGGGAGAAAAGGAAGAGAAAACTCTGTTCTGTGCGCTACCCCTGCTGCATGTCTGTCTCTCTGATGCTCCTTGGACAGAGCAGTGGCTGGGTCCGTCCTGTCAGATCCATTTGCCCCTGGGTCACTAGCTTCCTCTAGGACACTAGAGAACCACTCAGTGTGGACCAAGAACTCGGCTGTGAGTGCTGTTCCAAGGGACCAGGTGACTGCTCGCCCCGCTTTGAACACCTGGTCCTTGGTAGCTGCACGGGTAGATGCTTATCAGCACGCAGGTGAGGCGGGAAGATCCACATCCAGAACCCTTCCCTCTGTTCCCTCACACAGGCCAAAGGGAGGGAAGGATGCAGGGAGACGTGTCCTCACTGGAGGGGACGTGAAAGGATCATTTTGCCCTCCCTGCCTACAATACTAGTCTGGAAGTGGCAACTTCAGGAATAGATTGCTACCCTCTCACTGGCCCTCTGTCTAGTTCACCCTAAGGTGACTTAGACACCGGCTGCTCACCCGGTGTTGTTCTGATGGAGGTTCTGCAGGCCAGCAGGGCTGGGAGGGACTGAGCGGCCCCTTTCAAAGACACCACTCCTCCCTGTAGGCAGCCATTGGGCGGAGAAGCCTTGCCCCTCCCCCTTACACAACCTATTTACAAAGTGGACTAGACACACACAAGTACTGCATTAATGGTGGAAACTGCAGAGGGGGTAGAAAAGGATTTTGAGAGATCTGACTGCAGTTCACCAGAGCCTCTCGTGCAGAACAGGGTTACGGAGACAAGGAGGCCGAGGAGAACGCACGGCCGCTCTTCAAACAGCTTACCAGGTGACCCAGAACTCCTGGTTCTTCAAAACTGAACACCCTACTCTAACATCGCCTTGGGCCTCCCTGCCTCTTTATCCTCACTCAACCTATGGCTTTTATCAGATCGTGAAAGTGTATCAGATTGGAACGGGAGGAGACAGAGAAAAGGAGACCGCAGGGGTGTCCTGCTGCATAACTCCCGCCGCACAGGCGCCCTGGACACCCCCGTGACAAGCGTTTGGAAACAGGGTCTGGCCCATGCTGATACCTTTACCACCAGGCAAAGAGCTCACGTTAGCCCAGCCTGTTCTGTTGGAGTAGAAATTTTTTTTCCATTTTTATTTTCTTCCACATGTGCAAAGATAAGCCTCAGGTCTGCTCCTATCAGACCCTAGAGAAGTAAAAAGAAAGCCCCTTCTTTGAAAACCACACACCATCCAGAGCAGGGTGAGAAACTGAAGAGGAGGGGGAGGGAGGCCTCCCGGTCAGCAGGCGGGTTGGGTCCAGGTTATTTACCACGCGTGCATCTGGCAACAGTCCGGATTCCTTGGCTGTCCGATGCCGAGGGCCGAGCCCCGCTGAGGTCCTGCTCCCCGTGGGACTTCAGTGAATCCGCCCAGCCACACTTCACCGTGCCCAGCGCCCTTTGGAGAATAAAGAGGAAGAATTAGAAACATAATTGCTTTCTCAGGGAGACCACCCATAAGGGTCACAGGCTGCCAAGAGGAGATCTCAACGTCTTTCTTGTACTCGGAGGTAACAGGGCCCTTGAGTGGCTTTTCCCTGCACCCTGCTACACTTGGGGTCCACCGGCAAGGAAGGGAGTGTAGGCTACAGGGACGGTAGGGCTTTAGCATCGGCAGGCCCACAGACTGGCACCCAAACCCCACCTCCCTCGCCTTCTAACTGGGGGCTTGGGTGCCAGGAGGCCTGTGGCAGGTGACTGACCCCCCTAGTGTAGGACTCTGTCTTCTACAGAGACCAGGCAGGTGCAGGGCCCAGCTGCCAACTCAGAGCAAACTCACTGGTGCTATGCTTTTTGTATCACACCAGATAGTTTCAGAATGCGCTGTCCAAACAGGAGGAAGTCTATTTAATTAAAAAATTACGAAGAACTCCTGCTCGTGGGCGCACCGATGTGTACATTTTATTTCTTCGTGTATTTACCTCTCACCAAGGGTTGGCGGCCCAGAGAACTGTCCCAATCAAGTCAACGCGCCCCGGGGGCCAAGAGGGCCAGTGTGAGGCCGTTCTGCAGTGGCAGAAACAGACTCAGCGAGGTTCGGGGGACGTGCCCAAGGTCTCACAGCAATTTAGTGACAGATCCAGCCCCAGGGGTCCGCCAGACCACCTGACTGTGACCATGTTCACAACATTTGAGTGACAAGGAGTAAATTTGGCATTTGCCAGGTCAGAAACCAATGGCTAGCCACAGACGTTGGACAGAAGCCGCCAGCGGTGGGAAAGGTGTTTTGCCCTTATGGAAGTCTGGCCTTCCTGTGGCATGGAGCCATTCTGACGGCCTCCCCCTGCCCCAGTGTGTGGAGGGCCCGTGGCTCCCTTCTGTCTCCTGCCTGCACTGCTGAGACAGGGTGTCTGAGAGAAAAGCTAGAGGCCCCATCCCATACAGCTGCCAGCCTGTCTCCAAAGTTTCCATGTTGCCTGCAGAGTCCATGTGGATGAAAGGTCAGCCTGGCCCCCAGGAGCCTCTACTGCCTCCTCGGAAGCACCTAGACCCTGTGCTGGGGCTCTTGGTGGCGTGGCCTCTAGTCTGCACAACAACCCTACAGTGGGGACATAGTTCTTATCCTCAGTTCCCACGAGAGGAAGGCTGGGCTCAGAGAGGCCAAGCCACTTACCCAGAATCACCCCACAAAGGGAGCAGATCCCCTACTTGTCCCAGACTGACGGCTCCAGAGTGTCCACACAGGAGGGGCCTGGGGGCCACAATCTACCTGGATGTGGTGTCTTAAACCATGTCTAGCGCTTTCCGTAAGACTGGAAAAACACCGTTCTGTTTCAGTGGGGAGACGGGCGGGAGGAGAGCACCGGTTCTTAGGGTCAGTGTTAGTCCAGGGGCCGCAGACGAGGGGCTTTCCAGACACCGAGGGCCGACCAGCACCTCCTTCCCCACGTGGCAGGTGGTTTATCTCAGCCGCCCACTGGGGGAGGGGATACGCTGGAACAGAGTTCCAAGGGCCTGAATCCGTGGCCCCCTGGAGCCCCCAACGGGGCCTGGGGATACTGCTGTGACCTCCACAGGACCCCCATGTGGAGCTTTTTCTGGAGGTAGAGGCCTGGGCTCATTGTCCCCATCTGTGCAGCGAGCAGGCTAGACAGATAGCCCTCTGTGCAGGGTTGTCCCTCCACAGTCCCCTCTCAGAGTGTCCAGAGCTGTCCTGATGGGTAGTGGGGACACTGTTGCCTCTGGCCACAGTGAGCATCAGAGGAGCGTGGCCACTGCTTTCAAACATTCCTTCCACCCTGACAGGCCACAGTGAGCCTTCAGGTTCTCTCTCATTGGCTGGCTCTTCTGTCACTCTCAACGAACCTGCCCAAGTGATGACGACTCCACTGCACGTTGACCACTGTCACATCACAGCTCCCTGACAGCATTTGTCACACTTTCTATTAGTACTGTAGTCAGACAGGCAGTCACAGCTCTTGACCCCCTTGAGCCTCACGGACCTGCTGCGAGGCCCCCATGACGGCCCCTCTGCGAGGGCCAGGAACTGGGCTGCCGGGCGGGAACCACCTTCCTAGACTGCGCCGACTTGAGCTGCACCAAGGGGCCTCCCAGATGGACTGGGTGAGCCACCCCTCCCCCAGCTCTCTCCCCACGATACCAGGCTCCTCCCCCAACACAGGCAGGCAGCTCCCAGGTGCCCTGTGTGGAACAGCATGAGACAGTGGTGTGCTCAGCCCCAGCCAACGATGACCCAGGCAGGCGAGCGCTCTGCCGCGAACCAGCCACCGTTCCCAGTGGTCTTTGTTCCTCACAGCACCTCTAGGGAGGGTGACAGACAAGGAGACAGGTGCGTAAGGACTACCTTGTCTGGGTCCCACGGCTGGCAAGTGCTGGACGCTGGACCAGGGTTCATGCCTCTGTGTACTAGGCTCCTTCTCAAGGCAGAGAAGGGGGAGAAAGGGCCCGCAGGCCTCAAAACCTTCCACCTCCAAGACTCTAAGACCACCCTTCATTAGTCTTGACCTATCCTGGGGACCTATGGATCTGAGAGCCAGGCACACTGTCTCCCACGCTAGGCCGCCTCTGGGAAGCTTGGCAACATAATCCACTCGCCTTTGATCCCTCGATTACTCACCACCGTCACTCTGAACTTGGCTCCATCCTCCTCCCCATCACCATCCATAAACTCAGTGAGAGTGCACCCCACTCCACCCAAGCTTCAGATCTGTCAGGATATGGGCTTATACACAGCTTCCCCCCACCCACCTCCTTGAGGTTGGTAGGATTTATGCTTGTGCAAAAACTTGCCCTCTAAGTTCACGGTGGGTGCAAAATGACTCTGCCCCAGGGTTTGCAGAAGAGACTTTTCGGCCTACTGTTTCACGTAGTTTAACCTCCTTCTTTTACAGTAAGAAAACTGAGACCCAGAGAAGTGAAGATACAGGAAGTTAGGGGCAAAGTTGGCACCCAAGGTCAGGTCTCCCATTCCCAGCCCCACAGTGTCCCTCCGCTGTATCCACAGATGCTCAATAATGAGAGCCAGTGGCCACACAAAATCTGACCTGGCTCCTAACTGACCGCCAAGTGTAAGAATTTTAATCAGTTGTTTGCCTCCTCTTGGAAACTTGTGTCCCGGGTAGCTGAGAACTAGAACAGGGTCATCGGGAAGAGGAGACGAGCAAACCTGCCCCCCCCTGCCCCCACCTCCCCATCCTGCTGCCCTACCTGGCTCCCTACTTGCAGGTGTGCACGTCGTAGATGCGGACACACTCCTGGCAGCTCACGTAGCAGCACCAGTGGAAGATGCAGTGGCATTTCTCCTTCCGTTTCTCCGTCCTCGTGTTGTGGCCACGGCCGCAGCACAGCAAGTCGCAGCCGTCGATGCCGTGGGAGGTGACATTGCAAGTCCGGTCTCTGGTACCGAAGGAGCCTGTCTCGGGGTTGGGCTCACAAAAGTTGGGGGAGTTCTCGTAGTAGACCAGGTCCCTCTCTGTGGGCGGCTTGAAGAGCGCGTACTTGGCCCGGAGCGTCTCCACCCAGCCGCGGGACTCCCGGTGCTTCTCCACCACCATCTCCGAGGCGCTGTCGTACTTGTCCTTGAGGAAGTCCCCGATGGCGCGGAAGTCGGGCTGAGCCCACCAGCAGGTCTTCACCTCGCAGCTGCCCGACAGCCCGTGGCATTTGCACTTGAGGTGCATGTGGTCCAGGATGGTCTGGGAAAGAGGAACAGCGGCTGGCCCCCAGACGGACCCCACCTGGGAGCACACCTAGGCCCCCTGCTCTGCCCGGCCCAGCCCCGTCCCTGCAGCCTTCTCTGTTCCTACTCAGTGCTAGGATGAGAACTGACTGAGGACGGAGGCACCGCTGTGGAATGGAGAGTACTGTTTCCCTCCTTTTGACACCCTGATTATTAGCAGAAACCACATCCATTTCTCAAAGCCATAACAGGGATTGTTATTCGCATTTAACAGACGGGGAAACCGAGACTGGGAACCTAAGTGTCTCACGCTAAGTCAAGCAGCCATAGGAAGGGGTGTAAGTGAGGTCAAAGCCAGGCCACGGGCCTACACAGGCAGTCCGAACACACAGGATGGGCTGCAGGTACCTGCCCGATGGGACCCCCACGCTCCCCACTGATGCATCCCAGGGATGGTGGAGACCCAGAACAGCCCAAGGATAAAGGAAGGTGAGCAGAAGGGGTGACTGTGGGGTGGGGGGCGGGGACCAAGCCTGGCCAAGGGGAAAGAGGTAGAGCAGGGAGCTCTGGGCGCACAAGGGCCCCTGGAAGGGGTTGAGGCAGTAGGGGCCCAGACGAGGTCAGGCGCAATCTCAGACAGGGCAGTCAGACAGGGCGGCTGCGGCTCACCGTGCGGCCCGCCTCGTTGTTGTGCTTGTTCATGGCGGAGCGTGCGTCCGGCCTGTTCTCCCGCGCATCCGCGAACTCTCGGGACACTAGCACCCCGAAGTCGGCGTCCTCGCTGCAGCCGCCCCACTTCCAGCCCTCGCCGGGCGGTCCCTTATGATGGGAGTCGCAGCCGCAGATCGTGGAGGTGCCCTCCGCGCAGGAGCGGGTGACGGCGAAGGCCACGCCGGCCGAGGCGATGGCGTGCACAAAGGCCGACTCGCGGGTGGCTGCACAGAGGAGTCGGGAAGCACCGTCAGGCCGGTCCTGGGACTCGGCCGCGCGGCCTCCGCCTCCCCAGACGGGGAGGAGAGCTCGCCAGCCAGGAGGGAAGAGGAAGGAACCGGGGGGCGGGTCCCCGCTTTACCGTGTGAGCCAACTGAGGCCAAGGCCACTAACTGATTAAATACCTGGCAGACCAGAGTCGCTTAAAAACAGGGGTAGAAATGGTAGCCCCGGCAGGTTGCTGAAGGGATTAGGGGCCCTGCCGCCCTCGCGCTTCCCAGAGAGTCCAGCGCGGGCCTGAGCCCTTGCAGTCCCGAGAGCCTGCCGTCTGGGTGGGGGGAGGCCCGGGAACCCACAGCCTAAACCCACCCAAGTCCGCCCATCCCCACTTGCATGCGCCTGGGGGGACCCTTCCCCTTTCGGATCCTCCGAGACCCCCCCCCCCCCACACACACACAGAGTGGGAACAACTTCCTTCTGCCACCAGAGCTCCTGACCGGGCCTGGCGTCTCGGGGTCCGTCTCCCTGCCCTTTCTCCACCCAGACAACGCCGAGGTTTGGGGCTGAGAAGGCCACGTCCCTCCCGGGAGGAGGGGGACACGGGGCAGTTCCCCTGGTTCTGCCCCCAGGGTCCAGCGAAGAAAAAGAAATGATTCTCAGGGATGTTCCCCCAATTTCACTGTAATGACCGCCTTTGGGTGCTGTTAGGCGCCAGATTCTGCCCTCCAGGCGCTATGTCCTGGTTACTCCTTGTAACCCCGTGAGGCAGGACGTCTTGCAGACCCATTTTGCAAATGCGGACTAACGACTGGGGCGGCAAAGGCCTGAAACACAGGCAACACCACCCTCTCTCCTCACTGGAGAAAGACCCAGAACACGGACGGGACCTGTCCCAGGCCGAGCAGGCTGCTGGACTCGGGCCTGGCCCAGAAGCCGGGTGCCCCGCGCCTAGCGCTGCGGAAGACGGTGGGTCGGCAGACGAGGGAGCCCAGCCTCCCCTGGCAGCAGCCACCGCGGCCAGTGGAGAGGCCCCGGCGCCCTCGCGGGCCCCCTGCAGCGGAAGGGCCGCTCCGCCGGCCCCGCGCAGGTCTGGGGAGCGCGCCCGGGCGGACGGACCGCGGCCCGGCGGCTGCCCCGGCCCGTGGCGCTGCGCCCGGCCTCCGACCCGGTGCCCGCCCGGCCCCTCCCACCGGCCGGCGCCCGGGGGCGAGGGGCGCCGAGGGCCAGGGCCTCGTTTCCGGCCCGACTCGCGGCTCCTCGCGGCGGCGGCGGCGGCGCCCAGACCCCGCGCCGCGCTCGGTTCCCAGCCCCGGGGACGCGGGGGCGGCGGGGGCGGGGCGCGGATTAGCCTGGGAGCGGCGCTGACAGCCCCGCTGTGCCGGTCCCCGTCCGGCGGGGCCCGCTGGGCCACTCAATCCGCCTTTGTTCGCGCGGTGTCACACCGCATTACCCGCATAATGCGCCCGCCGGGCCCCGGCCGCCGGGCCGGCCGCCACCGCGTAGCAACGGGCGGCTCCCGCGGCCGGGCCGCGCCCCCGGCCCCGGCGCCGGGCCTTGAAATCCCCATTGAAGCGGCGCCCCCCGCCCGCGCGCCGCGCCGACCGGCCAGAGAGCGTGTGAATGGCGCGGCGGCCGCGGCGGGCGCGGGGCCGGGCCGCGCGGTGGGGGCGCCGCTCGGGCCGCTGTCCAGCCGCCCGAACCCCTCGGGGCGCCCGCCCCAGGTGCCCCGGGGGAGCTGCGGTGCCCCGCGGGAGCACCCGGGCGCGGGCGGGGACCCTCTTCCCGGGGACCGAGCTTTGGTCCAACCCCCGGTCTCTGGCCACCGCCCCCTCCTCCAACCACAGCTGCCCGCTTGCAATTTGGGGATGAAGCCATGTTCTAGAATCGAGATCTCACAGGGACTGTTTTAAACCGAGAAACGCAAACACGAGTGGGTGGTAAGCGCAAAGGCCCGACTTCCACTGGCCGGCGTCCCGGGTGGGGAAGGGCAGCCGGGGGCGCGTCGGACGCCGGGCGTTGATTCGCCGCTACCTGGCCCGAGGCGGGCGCCGACGGCGGGGGGACGGACGCGCCGGCAAGGTCGGGTTTGAAATGCAAACCGCCGCCACTTGGCCCCAATTAGAGGCCAAACCTTTTATGTAAACAAGGAATAATTAGCTTTGGTAACAGAAGCGTAAACAGAATCATCATCCATTGATTCGCTAATTGCCCTTCGGTCCCACGACAATAGCCTGTAGGTCGGCCTCGGTCTGTGAACCTGGGGCGCTGCGCTCTGCGGGGGGGACCGGGAGTCCACGTCCCCGACCCGTACCCACCCCCGGGACCCCGCCGGCTCTCACGTCTTTTCTCTCCGCGTGTAAATGCGGCTCTTCTACCCGGAGGGAGGGCGCGCTCGCGGGTTGGACTGGCAAAGCCTTGTCGGTGGAGGGAAGGTTCGAGTCGCTGTGGTTTAAGGGGCGGTGAGTCCCGGGCGCCGCTGGGACCCCTCGACTCCCGGACACCGCAGCTGCTCAGTTAGTTGCCCGATGCCGCCCAGGACTCACCGGCCGCAAAGTCCCCTTCTGGGGAGCAGTTGACCCCTCACCCCTGTCACCAGGTGCCTTCGGGTTTGAAGTCCAGCTGCGCGACCCCCTTCATTGGAAGCGCAGCCGGCGAGGCTCCCAGGTTGCGAGCTGGCTGGGAACTCATCCAGCAGCCCGTCCAGGCCCCACCACGCTGCCTGCGCGCGGGCACCGCGGCACGTTCTCACCGGGGCACCTGGGAGCAGTGCAGCGCCGCCGGCACCAAGCAGCTTCCTCGGCTCCAGAATTTTCTATGTAGGAGGGATGTAGGGCGGCAGTGCCCCCACACCACACCAAAGCTACATTTGCGTAACACTTAACAACACAGCATTGGGGAAATGTCAGGATGTCCACATCAAAGCCTGGGCCCCGCTGCGCCAGCCGAGAAGGCAGGAAGGCTGCAGCCTCCTGGGCTGCTCCGGGTCCCTGCAGCCTCGGGCAGCTTAAGGATGCCCAGCCCCCAGCAGCACCTGGGAGAGTGTGGCAGCCATGGTGACAGCCTGGGAGGGTCCAGAGATGGACCTGACCTGCTTTCGCGGATGCCCCAGGTCGCGACCAGCTTCATTAGCCTCCCCTGAGGCCCCGAAACCCACACCCGCTCCTGCCCGGCCCAGAGGCAGTACCTTTGTCCAAGACGGGCCCGAAGATGGCCAGGCTGTCGTCTATGGTGGTGCAGTTCCAGCGGCGGCCCCGGAACTGGTGCTGACACTCCTGGATGCCCAGCTTCACGCCCTCGGCCACACTGGGCATAATTTCGATGTAATTGCGACAGAAGCGCAGTTGCTTGGGGACCAGGCCTGGGATGGAGCCGCAGAGCAGAGGCTGAGAGCCCAGGGACGTGTACTGCTGGCCCAGGGCCAGGGACCTGCGGGCACACAGAAGACAGTGGCAAGGCAAGCCCAGCGCGCAGCCCACTGTAGGCGCTTTCTTCCTCACGGGCCCTCCTGGGCGGGCGAGGCCATAGAGGGCCGGGGCCTGAATCCAGGCCCTGGGAAACCTGGCCCCGGGGCTGCCCTCGAAGGGCAGGGCTCTGGTCCAGGCAAAGCCAGCCCTGCCACATGGACACATCCAGCTTGCGAGGACATGGGGACCAGCACCAGTTGGGCACCCTTGAGGACCACTGCAGTACCATGAAAAGAAACCGGGACTGGGCAGATGGTATTGGGTGCCCAGGTCAAGTCCCTCCCATGCTCTGGGCCAGTCTCCATGATGGGCACTGAAGGGTTTGGTCTGGGCAACCTCCCAGGGAGTCCAGGTTTTGGGGGCCAAGTGAGACTTTCAGTGACCCACAGGAAGGTGTTTTAGGGCCCACTGCCCCATCTCCGAAGAAGCAAAGAAGTCACAGTTCCCACAGGGACCTTGCACCCGACAGTTGGGTTCCCCTTTCCAAATCTGCAGATGCCTTGGGAAGAGGGTCGGGAGACCCCAGGGCAGGGCAGGAAACACCACACAGATGCTTCCTGGACTAGACACAGGGATGAACCAAAGGCCTGCCACTGAAAAGCTCTCACTACATACTCATGACGGGCATGGTGCCCACCGGCCTGGGGCTGGCTCTGGGCTCCGTTGCCAGAGGGATGAGGTGGGCGCCCCATATTTTTATTTGTGAATTCACTCTGGGGCCACGGATGAGGAAACCAGCTCTCAGAGTGTGGATGGTAACACTTACGAAACACATCCGGATCTTCAGCGTCAAGCCCTTTTGAAGAGAAGGAAGGGCCACCTGCAGGCCTGACCCACCACTGAGAATGGCTATTCCTGAATTCCTCCGTGCTGGGCACTGGGCTGAGTCCTCCCTTGGCATTGCCTGACTTAACCCTTCTAACTGCCCTGTGACTGAGGATGTGTTCAGACAGCTTAGCCTTGCCGGTCAAGAAACCAGCCCAAACCACAGAACTGCTAAGGAGATGCTCACCAGACCCTGTGCCTTCTCCAGACTAGCACCCTGGGGCAAACCAGTGCACTGTCCATCCTCTGGGCAGTGCCCGCCTGGGTGCTGGGAGTGGGTGTGCCTGCAAGCCTGGCCTGTCTGCACCCCAGGCCTCAACACTGAGCCCACCCATGCCTGGGTGGGACGGAGCCAGTCGGCCCCAAGGCCCTGATGAGCACATGGCACACAGCCCTTGACAGGGCCCAGCAGGCTGCCCTCTCCTGCCCTGCCCTGTTTACAGTTACAAACAGGTTCTCGTGCTCATCATGATCATCAAATCCCTGTTGCTTGTTATGTGCCGGGCTGGTTCTGACTGCTCGCTTCCTGTAATCCTCACAGCGAGTCTGTGAGATGGGAACTTCATGGTCACTAACATCATCCCATTTTATAGATGAAGACACTGAGGCCAGGGAGCTAAGTAACCTGCCTACCTGCAGGACTGCAAACTCTCAGAGTTGAGCCTCCCTCCCCATCCAGGCTGCCTCTCTGTGTGCCCTCAACCAGCAGGTCCAGCCCTGTCCCTGCAGCCCTGCCATCACTGGGGAGGGGACCTGAGCCAGTGATGGCTTGGCCTAGTGCCATCCTGGGAGGGAGGCTCAGGAGCGAGACCCCCACCTCTGGGAAACAGCCCAGGACTGTCCAGCTCCCTCCTCTGACGTTTAGGACCCAAAGCCCTATATGGGGACAGCTGGAGAGGGGAGCTGAGGCAGGACAGAGGACACTGGCCACAGCTGTGTTTGGTCATGAGTGTGGAGCCATAAGGGGCTCTAAAGGAGTGTGGTGGCGGTTGCCTGCCCCCTCCCACACCCTCGCCTGGGCCCCAACTATCCCAGAGCAGCATGAGGAGAACTGGCACCCAATTTCCAGCCTCAGTGTCCCTCCCCTTGGCTCAGAGTACTGCCCAGTCTCCCCACCACAAGTGCCTCGGTCCCTGCCCGTGTCTGGAGGGGCAGACCGGCCCTGCAGTGCCCACGCTCTCCATTAGCCTGGCCCTCCCTTCTCCTCTGCACACTCTAACCTGGACAGCCCTGTCCCGGGATCCCCTCTGGCACCAGGTATGCTTGCCCCACGTTACTCCCCGTTCACCGGTCTGCTTTGAGAACAGCCAAGCCGAGTTCTCAAAGCTCCAGCCTCCCTTTGCCCAGAGAGATGAACGTGGGGCCCGAGGGGCACTCAGGGCACTCAGGGGTCCTTCCTTGCCTCCTCCCCCCATTATTTTTCCACCTCCTCCCAGCCTTTTCCCTGCAGGCCTGGGTACCCTCAAGGTAAACGAGAGGCTGAGCCCTGAAATCAGAATCAGAACCTGTGAGAAGAGTCCTAAGAGAGTGCAAAGCAGAGACCCCCCCCCAAGGAAACTGACTTGCCCACGGCCATACCACCAGACGTGCAGAGCCTCCTTAGCTGGCTACCACTGCGTGGAGCTGGGGAGGGGAGCACCGAGGGATGGGCAAGCCCCTGCTGGCACTTCATTTCCTCTTAGTGAAACCGCTCCTCATCCCAACCCTCCAAGGGGCTCCCCGCTTCCTAACTTCACCAGCTCCCTCCCACCGGGTCCCAGGCGGCCTGCCCAACCCAGCAGAAGCCCGAGAACTGGGCACCGGCTGGCATGGCTTGGTTAGCCACAAAGGCTAGAGTTACTCCCCAAACACCTCCCAGTAGGGAGATGCCATCGTCCCCTCCCCTCCCCTGAGAGTCCCAAGCCCTCGCTGGCTGAGTCCTCCCTACAACCAAAGTGGGTTTTCTCTTGTCCTCTGCAGTCGCATTCAACACTGGCAATACTGACAGCAACCATTTACCCAGCACTTACGTGCCAGGCACTTCACACATATTATCTCATTTAATTCTCACAGTGGTTCTGTGAGCTGGTGCTGTCATCCCACTTTACAGATGAGGAAACCAAGGCACAGAGAAGTCGGGCAACATGTAGGAGGAAGTTATCCTAATTCTGACCCTGGTCTGTCTGCGTCTCAGTGCGATGTCCTCTGAGGACAATGCCCAGCCTCGGATGAGGACCTCATTCCCCTCCTCTCCCCAGACCCGGTCTCCTTCGGCCTCTCCCAATCCAACTGTGTGGCCGACAGACAGGCTGCCTTGGTTCGATTCCAGCTCTGCCGCTTCCTAGCCGTTGGTCTCTAGCAATTAGCTTAACCTTTCCGTGCCTCAGTTTCTTCATTTGTAAAATAGACATAAAGGGAAGCACAAATGCTATAAACCACTCGGCACATAGGAAGCACTCAGTAAATGGAGTTCGTTGTAGCTGCCATGTGTTTAGGGGCTGCCCACAGCACGGTGTCCCCTGCCTGTCACCAACCTCATTCCTCTCAGCCTCCCATTCCTGACTTAACAGAACACATCCCGTTTTGAGAACCAGTTCCGACCCATCGCTGGGAAGGAGGCCTTGGAGCAGAGCAGAGCTGCCCCCTGCCCGGGGCAGGGGGCCCCGGTCTGGCTGACTGTTAAAGGTGACCCAGAGGGCAAGGGCAAGGGCAGAAAGGTGTTTCCACGATGCTCCATTCGAGGGTTTTAGCTCGGATCTGGACATCCTGCCGGTAACTAGCAAGGGGTCTTCGGATGAAGGTGTAGCTTCCCGGGCTGGTGTTGGGGCTAATGCGGCTGTGGCCACGGGATTGATTTCTGCAGGACAGCTGCCCTCCTGCAAACGTGCCCTGCCACCCCTGACCATGAGCCAACCGCCCACACACTGCTCACGCCCGAAACTCTACCGCCCCAGATTCACGTGAATGTGACTCTCAGCTCCTCGTCCCCATTACTGAGGTGCTGGGTCCCCTGGGGGAGGTCACACAGTGAGCCTCACTCTGCTCAGTCCTTCATCCCAAGGTGCGAGTGGCTTTGATTAGACTTGTTCAGGCTGCTGAGTGGCTTGCAGCCCGGCTCCTTCCCACCTCTGTGCCCTTGTGGGCGCTGAGCCCCTCACCTGGAGTGCCTCCCCACTGCCCGAGTCCCCCTCACCTGGAGTGCCTCTCCTCTGCCCGAGTCCCCGCGAGCACCCTGCCCACCCTTCGACCTCCGATCCCTGGGTTGCCTCCATTCCGAAGACTGTTGTGGGCTCCACACAAAAGCAACCTCTCGTCCCTCTGGATTTTGCCTCTGCCTTATCCGAACCTTCTAGTCTGAAAGTGCTGAACTGATTTGTGTCTACTTCCATCTCTCTGTGCGAGTCCAGTTTCCTGAGATTGTGTCTCCTTCCAACCGCCCTCAACGCCTCCTCCATGACACACGCACACCCAACACATGCACACACACGAACAGAGAAACACGAGCATATTTGGTTTACCAGTAGGCCAGGCACATGACAGGAAAGAAGGAAGGGACAGTCCTGGCTGGTGTGGCTCAGTTGGTTGGGTGTCATCCCATGAAGAGGAAGGTCCCCAGTTTGAGTCTCAGTCGGGGGCACATGCCTGGGTTGTGGGTTCGGTCCCTGGTCGGGGCAAGTACAAGAGGCAACTGATCAACGTTTCTCTCTCACATCGATGTCTCTCTCACTCTCTTTCTCCCTCCCTTCCCCTCTCTTTAAATAAATACTTTTTTAAAGTTTTATTTATTTATCTTTAGAGGGGAAGGGAAGGAGAGAGGGAGAGAAACATCAATGCATAGTTGCCCCTCGTGTGTCTGCTGCTGGGAACTGGCCCGAAACCCAGGCATGTGCCCTGACTGGGAACTGAATCACGGTTGTTTGGTTCACAGGCCCGTGCTCAAGCCACTGAGCTACACCAGCCAGGACCAAATAAATAAATGTTTTTTTAAAAAGGATGACGGAGCAAGTCTTTCCCCAAAAGCCCAGCCTGCTCACTGCCGTCCTGCAGCCCCCCATCTAGCCCACCCCCCAGGCCTCACGGCACCCGGAGGTTCCACCTACACACAGAACAAGACTCCTGTTCCGCCGAGGAAGTTCCTACACTTAGGACCTGAGACGT